AAAAAAAAAAAAAAAAAGTTGACCAGTTTAAAAAAACTTTTTCGTTACGAAAAAAGTAAAAAATTTTGCTTAAAAATATTACCATCTATGACCGGAAACAGTATTATTCTGTCAGTTTATCAATGTAAAAAATTTAATCACACAACTGATCTGATCACCAAAATGGTTTTGTAGGTCTGACCACAGACTGTTATCCTAATCCTCCTACAACAAAACCTTCATCTACAACTCCACCAGCACCTCAACCTTCACCAGAAGGTTAAATTTTATTCTTACCTAAACAGCATCTAATTAATAGATACATAAAACTTTTAACATTTTTTTGTAATTGTCTGTGTTTTATTGTTATTTTTTACATTTTCAGAAAAAATACTCAAAAATCTGAAACGTGATTTTATCATTGTAACCGATATGATTCCAAGTGCAAATGATAATGACAAAAAACAAGGGGTAAAACACTTTTATTTTACTTTTTTTTTTTTGAAGAAAAAAAAAAGGCATATAATTAAGAAATTTACTGCTTACAATAGCAAATAAAAAAGTCAAATTTATTAAATAAAATGAAAATTAATTGTTTTATGCTTAAGTTAACTTTAAATTAAACTTTTAAAATGTAACACTCTTTTTTTTGAACCAAAAAAAAAAATTATTGTTAAATTTGGTATTTAGAAAATTGTTTTTTAGCTTTCTTTTTTTCGTATTATTATTTTTTTTTTTTTGCTTATTAAACTTTATTTTTACATTTTTGCAATTGCAGTTAAAAAGTTTTTTGGAAGGATTTGGAAAACTGTTGGAATTGAACGAAACTTTCAGTCGTATTGCATTGATTGGTTTTGATGCTAAGGGAATTGTATATATTGGTCAATTTGCTGAAAGCCAAACCACTTACAGTGCTAATATTGGCAAGGTTAAATCAGTTTGTTTTTTTTTTTGCTACTCTTTAGCAATTATACTTTTAAAAGATGTATAAATAAGAATCATTTTTTTTTCTTAGAGTAATATATAAATAATAGAAATTTTTTTTTTCTTTTGGTTTGTTGAATAATAATCATCTATTTTAAGTTAATGGCAGCAGAAGCTACAGGACCCGGTTATGGAAAATTGACAACTGCATTGAATGAGATGTTAAAAAATGATTCCAAAATTGAATTACGGCCCTACACTGATGCAATTATAATTGTCGTTACTGATAATATGTAAAGAAAAAAATTTTTCCTTTTTTCTTCTGTTATTTTAAATTCTATTATATCAATAAATTTAGAAGTAGACGTTAAGATTCTTTAAAAATCTGAAAAAAAAAAATGATAATGTTTCTTCAGTGCAATCAAAACATAGGTTAAGTTTTAATAAAGCATATTTTTGTTGTTGTTGTTGTTAACAGAAAAGCAAAAAAAAAAAATAGTAGTTTCTGTTTTTTTTTTTTTTTCAGACCTGCCGATCCAGATACATTGATAAGAAGCATAAAAGTGACAATTAGTCATTTACAATATTCTGGCTATCATTTATCTGCAATTACACCGACAAGCAATTTTGTCAGGGCTGTATTTAAGAACTTATTTAATAATGAACATTTGGTATCTGGAAATCAAATTTTGTCCTACAAAAATTTAGGCTCAGAGGGTGTTGCATTTGCAAAAAAACAAGCTCTGGCCTGTAAGTTATCATCACCTGTTTACAACTATTACAATTTATTAATCAGTAAATAATTTGCTTACAAAAAAGAAGACATAAGTGATAAAAAAAATTTAATTTTTAAAGAAATATTTAGTGTAATCAGAAAAGTTGTTATAATTTAAACAAATTATTTTGTTTTCGTGTCAGAGAAGGACTTGACAATTTTTGATAAAAAAATTTTTTTTTTTT